CAAGCATTTAATTTTGACACTAGAAGCTAAATAACACTTGGAAATATTTAGATTCAATGAAGAGAAACAGAACTGTGACTGGGACAATGATGAAGATAAACACACGGAACATGATGGAAATGATGATCCAGAACTAGCAGTCGACGATGATCTCACTCTGGACAATCTTGAGGATCTTGAACGAGAAGACTCCAAAGATAATTATACATCTGACTCGTGTCGCCAAACCCTCACAAAGGTTAGTTTATTCATCTTTCATCAAAATCTCTCTTCTGACTCTCATGCACATTTGAAATGATTCTATCCACTGTCGGCAGTTCCGTCGTATTGCCATGAAACTTCGGAAGTCCCCAAACTCCAAGGCGAAATTCATTGAGATTTGTGAAGAAGCTCAATGCAAGAAACCCCACACCATCGAGCGTGACGTCCCGACTCGGTGGAACTCAACTTACTTGCAACTGTCCAGTATTGTCCGATGTGAGGAAGCCATGTAAGTCTAATCATTATCAGTTTTTGATCCCCAATATTTACCCAAACTAACCTGTTATTCATGAAAGTGTCTTGTGGCAGCGCGATAAGCAGTTTGGAATTGCCCGTAACTATCACGTTCAACAAGAAGACTTTGACTTAGCCGCCGACTTGGTTCGACTTCTCCGACCCTTTTACAAAATCACCCTCCAATTGTCAACCAAAGCCTCGGCCCGGATTGCCGATGTCGTTGTCATGATCGATCAAATCACGTCCAACCTTGTGTCTGTGATTGCAAAGCAGGATTCTGAAAGAGATCACCCTCCGGCCCTACAAAATGCGTGTCGCGCCGGCCTTCGCATAACAAATAAGTATTACTCACTGACTGACTGCTCACCATTATACAGAATTGCAATGGGTAGGTCTTTTCTTCAACTCTCATGTAATTACATATGACATTCTTGGCAACTAACAAATATTATATCTGAATTTCCAGTTCTCCATCCGTCTTTCAAGGACGAATACTTTAAGCTGGCAAGATGGCCTAAGGAATGGATCGATGAGGCAGTTAAACTCACACGTGAGATGTACAATAAGTGGTACAAACCTCGAAACAAGGAATCGGCACCCTGTTCACCAGAACAGGAAGATGAATCAGAATGGGTAAATTTCATTTAATTTCCCCCCTTCTGCTTCAAATGAACTGATCAAATCATCCACCAGCGGCAAGCTGGGGTTCTGGCAGGTCTAGGTGACGCTGCTGAAGCTCGAATTGCGGCCCCCTCGAGTGACCCCATTACCAGATGGCTCACAGGTCCCCTGTATTTGGATAAACGGCGACCGATTGATGCCCTCAAGTGGTGGACGGAGCAAAAACGAACTGGAAATCCACATCAAGACATTGCACAGATGGCCCTTGATGTCCTGTTTTGTCCAGGTAAGACTCACAGTAAATAAGTCATCTCAAAATCAGAATGCTGATCATTTTTTCTGACTTTGTGCACAGCAACGACGGTTGACGTAGAGCGTACGTTCAGCTTTGGTAGAGACTATGTCACAACTAGGCGACACAATCTCCACCCAAAATCAGTAAGTACAGGTATGGCCTTGGCTTTTTATTCACAGAACAACAAGATCAAACCTCTGGCGCTCCACGAATACATGGAAAAAAAAGAAGAACAAAGCTAGGACTAAGGCAAAGAGGACTGGTGGGAGTCAAAGTGCTGGTGGAAGTCAAAGTCAAAGCGCTGGTGGGAGTCAAACTCAAAGCGCTCGTGGCAGGCAAAGTATTGCTGTCGTAATTGATTGATTAAATATTAGTATAATTTTATTTTATTTTTCCATTCTCTTTCTTTGCTTCTCTCAATCTCTTTCTAATATTCTATCACTCTCACTGGTTCACGACAAAAATACAAATGTCAAATCTCATTAGAGATGGTCGCGTTGCATCCGGATATCCGCGCGGATGCAGATATCCGGTTGCTTTTTCCGGGGAAAGCGGCATCCGCACCCGCATCCGCATCCCCTGGCGGATATCCCCCCGCCTTAGCGGGTATCCGAGCGGATATCCTCGGATACCCGCCCTCTAAATGGCCGGCAAGGCACATCCTCGCCGGCTGGAAAGGTTGCCTTCCAGCCGGCGAGGCATGTACCTTGCCGGCTGGAAACCCTTCCAGTTGTCAAGGTACACGTACCTCGCCAGCTGGCAGGAAACAGCTGGCGAGGTACATGTACCTCGCCAGCTGGAAGGAATACCTGCCAGCCAGGTAGGTACCTGGTCGGCGCCAAGTCAACCGTTCCAGCTGGCGAGGATGTGGCTTGCAGGCCATTTAGAGCGCGGGTATCTGCACATATACGTGGGGATACGCGCGAAGGTGAGGCGATTGCCGCGAGGAGATGCGGATGCGC